GAATACATGTTTCACTCCTAGAGCACTCTTCATCTCCAGCTCTCAAGGAACTTTGTAAACCTATTAGATTAGCAATAATACATATGGCTCAGACCTTCTTTTCAGAGATGGAAACAGTGACATGTTGAAGACAGGTGATGGGGCCAAGGCCACCAGGCAAATCAGGGGCAAAGGTGAGAAGCCAAGACTAACTTTCTAGCTCTGGGAGAGACAAGTGGGCCATATGTAGGACAGTGCAACACTTCTCCCTTTAAAAGAGCGGCGCTAAAAGTGGCCAACCAGGTGAGCTCCCAGTTTACAGGAATCTTGGAGAGCGACATTCAGCTTCTATAAAGGAAAATCTGATTCTGGTTTAATTAGCTACTAGACTCTGCATTTCTACCCTTTTTGGCAGCCTATGCCTCTCTGGCTGACTAACTAAAGTACAGGCATCATCACTTTTAGGCTGAAAGGTTTTTACTGAATAGATCCATTAGCAGGCACCCTGAGAAGGCAGAGGCTCTCATTTCTTGCAGTCAATAGGGCTCTCCTCCCCCACACAGTTACATTTATTGGTATCAGAAACTGTCAGGAGAAGGTGTCAGCCAGAATGCTGCTCATTAAACTGGGTTTATTTTCTGCCTGGATTGGTTCTCCAGGCATTTCCAAAGCTCCATTCCCAGCCACGGCAAGTCTGCTCAATGGCCCGTTAAATGCCAAAGGGCTTTTTACTTTTTAATCCATTCATCATAGGTTTCCCTTTACCAAAATCAATGAAGCCTGTGACCAGACAAGCAACTTGTTAACACTATGCTCAAGCATGGCTGAAGTGTGCAAGTCACTTAGGTGACTCCAGATGTGGGCAACGCTGGCTAAATATCTTCAGTGGAGATAAAACACTGATTGCATTTGCTGCAGGTGCACTACCTCCACCCAAGGCTGACCTGGCAGTAAAACTAAAATGTCTGGCTACCTACTGCTTTTTTTTTCTTGTTTTGGAGTTGGAGACGAATCTCAGCTAGGAGGCCATGGTTTAAAACATACTGAAGGCTATGCCTTCACTGACAAAGTTTTGTTTTTCAGTGAAACAGATCTCGCAACAGCAACATGAACTTGCCCAATGGCTACCTGCCCTCTCAATCAGTTATCTGTACCTAAAGATAAAGAGCAAGTCAAGTAGACTCAACAGTTAGACAAGACTAGCGGCAGTTGGGTAATATTAGAGATAGATGACCGTGCCAGGAAGTGATGAGATACCAGGAAGAAAGCAAATGGAGACCGCTCCTAGGCTTTGCTTATGTCAAAAAACATTTTTGAATGACCACTTTAAGTTGTCATCACCTTTTACTAACACATGAGGTCTCTCTTGGGCTCTTTTTTCCCCGCTTTTCATTTAAAACCTTAGTTTATTAATTCAATGGCAGCTTTTTATGGGTAGTAATTGAATTATCTAGTAGTAACTGACCAACAGGATCAAAGTAAGGGCAAAAGTTCTGTGATACAGTTTTTAATACTAACAATTTGGTTGCAGAGGCCTTGATCTAATTAAGCACAGAATTAAATTAGCTGGTCTCTGAAGTACTGCAAGTAGAACACTTTGTATTTAGAAGTCACTGTTGAAAATAAAAGCAACCATTTAACATGAAACATAACAATGGGCCAACTCAATCAGGTCACAAACTGGTTTAGGTCAAAAGGCACTTTGTTGGAGTATGGCAGCCTTATTAGGAGAAGTCTGTCTGGCTCTGCACTTTTGTGGTCTTGCTTTCAAAGCAAAGCAGAAAAGTGAATTTAATTAATGTCTGTGCCATGCTTGGAGCATACAGCACACCGTGCAAGTGCTGAGTATCATTCATTTTGAGTCGGGGTGCATCTTTTGGATCTTCCCACCGAGGGCTCCATTTCAAAATAAGAATTTCGTTTTGAGAAGGTGGCTTGCACATTCCATGGCAGTGACAAGCTTCTGATCTCATGTCTATTATAAGCCTCGGGCATTCAAGGTTCCAATCCCCTTCTCCCCTCCTGCCCTTGCCACACACACACACACACACACACACACACACACACACACACACACACACACACACACACACACACACACACACACACACACACACACACAGTCTTTGGTTAGCTCAGAAGCTGTTTCGGACTTGTTACAAGTAATGAGGAGCAGTGCTAACTGTCTATAGACGAAAGCACAGCAGGGCCCAGCCCCTCTGAGCAGGAAGAAAAGCTGGCTGACATCCACAGTTCAGAGAACAAGTGGATTTAAGGGAAAGAACATCACACCTAGAGTGTTGCCAAGGTCTTAGAGAAAACCATTACAAAAAGAAGTCACTGGATTTTACATAGCACTCAGTCAGGGACCTGTTTACCAAGAGGAAAGCATCAATATTTAGCAGTTAGGACAGGAGATGGGGGACATTCGTTCCTAGGCTCTATTTCCAGATCTGAGTTACTGTGCGACCTTCAGCAAGTTACAATATATTTATCTCAATTCACTCCCCCCGCCCCCAACTAAGCATTTATAAACTAGGATCAATACTTCCCTTCTTAATATTCCCTGGAGAGAAAATATTCCAAGCGTGCAGTGCAGTGTCAACGCTGGTGAAAATGTCAAGCCCTGACTACAAGGGAGAAGCAGAATCCTTTTGGCTTTTGTATCCTACAACTTTAAAGGATTCAGAAACAATGCAATAGAAGTAACAAGAATTCAAACCTTCATAGCAACACCCAAGTGAAAAAGGATATATTTTCTGCTTCTCTTCATTATATAACACATCTACCAACTGGATGACATTTTTGTGTCGTAATCGTCGCAGGAGTTGAATTTCCCTGGAGGAAGAAAGAGAGAAAAAAAAAAGTGTATTTCTTTACTACTGAAAAAACCTGATTTTTTTTTTTTTTTTTTTTTAAAGAGTCATTTGACTTGTAAAGACGTTTTAGACTGCGCTAATCCCAGCTGCTTCACCCAAGATTAGCTATAAACTGCTTTAAGCTTATTTCTGAGTCCATTAGCCCAAGGTCAGACCCTAAAAAAAACTTACCTGTTGGTTGACTACGACTGAAAGTAGGTGTGCTCTGCAGGGTTGCATTAACTAAAATAGGTGCTTATAAAAAGGAGAATACACTGACACTAGGAGAACTGTTCAAACTAGATTAAAATAAACACATGCTATCCCTACCAGGGATCATTAAAACTGTGTTAAAAAAAAAAAAAAAAGAAAAAAAAGAAATCATTCTTTACTTCTATGCCTTTACTTTCAGTTTTAAACATGAGGGATTCTGGGCTTGGTTTGAAGTGTTTTGCTGCATTTAAAGTTATGGTTATTTTTGCACTCTGCTCGGCTCAGGCATGGTCAAGCACAAGGATGGCAGTTGTGAGAGCTGGGTCTTGTTTCCAACTCAGAGATCCTGGGCAAAAATCTCTCTCTCAGAGATGCAGTTGCCCCACAACCTTAAAGACTAATATTATAGTGACATATATGTAAGCATTCAGAACATTTCCATTATTATCTGTAGGCAGCATCTCGCATTTCACATACACTAAGTTAAAACTTGAATTCAGGTTCCAGGATGTTGCAGAGCACACAAACACATTCAGACCTCCTGTGCTGATATTGCAGTCTAACCTAAGGCTGTGTGTCTATCAACTCCACAGCTTTGTTTTCCATTGTGTTTTTCTTCCTAGGTTCTGTATCAAGGCTAGCAAGCTCCCACCTCTAAGCTTGCTTCACTCCTTGAATGGTAGCGAAGCACTCCTACTTGTCAAGCAGGACAGAGGCAAGCTCAAAAACAAGAGGAGCAATCTGCAGCTGTGTTGCCCTAGAGGGAACAGCTGATTTAGGATTTCTTCCCAGGCCACCCTTAGAGAGCACACTGCTTACTTTCAAAGGAAGCAAACACACACAGGGACACGCCTCACACTGCAGTCTGCCTACCTATGCAGGGTATGCCTTTCTCCAATAAGAGACTATAGCTGGAATCTGGCTCTAGCCCAGACAACAGCTCCCAGGAAAAGCTGCCAAGAACTACCCCGAATGCTATCACAGACAGAAGCACGGCTTCAACAGCTGTCCCCCAAATCAAGCTATTTTGCCAGAAAAGCTGTAGGTGTAGGAGACTGGAGCTCACAAGCGACTTTGGCAGCTGAACCCTAGCCTGAAGGACACACCTTAGAGTTGGCAAATATTACAGAAAACTCAAGGCAAACCTTTTATCTCTGCACTTCGGGATTCTGCATGCATGCGCCTCATCTACAGTTACAGAAACTAGGATAAATTCAATCAGGATATCAGCCCCACCTCATGCTCCAGAACATGTGCTTATCAGCAGCAGGAGAAACAAGAACTATCCTCCTGTCCGTCACAGTATACCATACCACTGCACAAGTAGGTACATTACTGCTCTGTATATATTCAGCATCAGGCACCATCTCAGACTACATCCTGTTTAAGGATATTAGTTCCTATTTAACAGGAATAACAATTTGAAGGTTAGTTGGTTTCCAAGAGGGAGTTTAAAAATAATTCCAAGTACTTAAACTTTACTCCACACCTCTTCCTGCTGGCGTTGTTGTTTTATAGTCACTTATTAAAATGACTTTCTGGCTCTGCATAAATCATGAGCAGATGACTAATTAACTCCAGAGAAGAAATAGCGGAACTGTCCACATATGAAAAGACAGAAATCGGGGCATGTCTACACGTTCATTAATGTGCTTAAGATACTGCACATTCATTGAATACTTGCTTAATAAAGTACTAAATTAAATGCGCAGTAACTTGCACTGGCACATGGTTATTTTGTAATGCTTACCGTGCATTAGCCTAATAACACTGCACAGTAAGCTATTAGCACGTTTTTAACTCCCACACTCCTGCGCAGTGTTATTAGGCTAACACGCAGTAAGCATCTCACGTAGACTAAATGGAATACTTTAGTGGAAAAAAAAATAGCAGAAAGGTCAAGAGTTGAATCAGTTTAGCATTAAATATCATGTATTTCAGAAAAAATTAGGGGCACCTCCAACGTTCTCTCTAAGGAGTAGGTGCCGCACCTCTCTTAACACCCTTCTCGGTGAATAAGGATGGTGTAGTTGCACTGACAACATAGAGGGCAGGGAAGAGACGAGACTAACTATTTCAAACCAAGTTTTCCTCAGTTACTACTCTAGGCAGGAATTAAATGAAGAAATGACAGATTCGCAGAGAGAAAGTTTACATGCGTGACAGCTGGGTTTCAAGGAGAGATGCAAAGCGTTGCTATGGGTAAGAAAGTCTACGGTTTTAATGCATGACTAACCCACTCCCCTTCCCCTCAACCCCTTTTGAAGCTGTATAGTTAATCATCATCACTGCTGTCCAAAAGTGTTACAG